AGGATTTGTGACATCATAAATAGTTTGGAAGTCAGTCCTGGTCCAGTATGAAACTTGTAGAGTGTGATGTAGAAACCGAAGTTCCTTATTTAAATTATGATGACAATTATAGACTTTACATTTAGTTCCTTGGGATGTTAAACATAAATGAATCGTTAACCTTATTTAGATTTTTTTTTTAGAAAACGTTTTTATTAAGCTATCAGAAAAAATATATTTTTGCATTACCACAAGAAAACAAAATATTCAAAATCATGTTGACCACAGGACAATCTGATCGTCATCTCAAACACCATCAGCTGGTTTCACATCTGTTTTTCATCCACATTACTTCAGGCCCAGACGTTAATCACTCCATCACTCCCTCCTGAGACCACAGTCTCCCCCTCGTGGTCGAATGTCACACTCTGCACGCCATCGCTGTGTCCCAACAGGCTGCTCACCACGCCGGAATCCACCTCCACCACTCTAACCAGACCGTCGCTGCTGGCAACAGCTAGCATCTTCCCCGATGGGCTGAACGCTACCTGGTTGGCAGCCAGTGGCCCGGCATCTACCGTGGCCATTGCCAACGCAGGCTTTCTGACATCCCACAGGTTGATGACACCACGGGAGTCACATGAGGCCACGACATCGCTGGCCAGGCTGGAAGTGGCGTGGTTGCAGGGGTGCTGGTGTCCATGGAAGGTTGCGGTGCAGACTCCCAGCCTGGCGTCCCACATGGCGAGGGTTTTGTCAGCCGAGCAGGTGAGGAGGAGGTTGGAGAAGGGCAGGAAGCGGACACTGTTGACAGAGGCAGTGTGGCGACGGAGTGTGAGGCGGCAGCGCTGACTGTTCAGGTCCCACAGCTTGGCGGTTCTGTCGGCAGAGCAGGAAGCCAGAAAGTGGCCACACCAGTGGAAGGCGCAGCCCCAGGTGGGTTGGCTATGACCGGACAGCGTCAACACGCAGCAGCCGCGAGAGAAATCCCAGAGCCGCACCTGCACAAAGAGCGACCCTAGAGTTAACCACAGGTCAAGAAGATCAGGAGAACAGGGGAGCAGAAACCTCACTATGTTGGCTTTTACTTTAAAGGACCAGTGTGTAGGATTTAGTGGCATCTAGTGGTGAAGTTGCAGACTGCAATACAGCTCAGCCTTCTAAGTGAGTAGTGGCCTGTGGTGGCCACGAAACTCATGAAAAACATGAAAGACTCTTTCTACAGTCAGTGTTTGGTTTGTCCGTTCTGTGCTACTGTAGAAACATGGGGCTTCATCATGGCGGACTCCGCCAGTAGAGGACCCGCTCCCTCTCTAGATAAAAAGGTCTGATTCTAATGTAACAAAAACACAATGACTGTTATATTAGGGTGATTATACACCTGTGAAACCATACCATATATGAATATTATATCCTTTTCTGACAATAGATCCTCCTCAATGTTACACACTGTTCCTTTAATGAAGATGGACTCACCATGGTGTCTCCGCTGGTTGTTGCCAGTTTTGCTCCATTGGGGTGAAAACTGCAGCCAGACACCCAATCAGAGTGACCCTCACCTGTCAGCACCAGCTCACCAACCTGGCAACACACATTAAATGATGTCAGCTGTACAGTGTCATCCTGCATTATCAGTTATCTTAGTCTCATCTCATCTCACGCTGAGATGTGTCATTCTGTATCATCTCATAACTCGTCTTATTCTCATCTTCTCTCATCTTATCTCATTTCATATAATGGTGAATCTATTCCCTCGCCCTTTATTGGATATTATTTATCTCCCTGTGTCTTTCATTTATATCTTAACGTTACTATCTCATCTCATTTGCCTCATCTGCTAACTGGTCTCATAGTCTCTCAGTTGATTTAATCTCATCACATTTTATTATTTTGTATTCTTGTCTGTAATGTGATAGCATCATGTCTAATCTCTCTTCACTGGACATTTTGTCTGATCTTATATCTCGTTTCATATGTCTCAACTTCTCAGTTTACTTTATCTCATCTTATAAGCAATACTAAAACCCATGTCAGATTTCACCTCACTCCATATGTGATCCTATCTCATGTCAGGGAATCTCATCATGTTTCTCATGGATTTGAACACACAAACATCTTTCTCTTACCTTCTCTCCGCCGGCCGGCAGCGCCCACAGCTTCCAGCTGCGGTCGTCGCTGGCGGAGGCCAGGATCCGTTTCCGTGGATGGAGGTCGATGCAGCTGATGGGAAGCTCGTGGGCCCTGATGGAGCAGGACAAGCTGAAGGAACTGGGGCTTTTCCATCTCTCAGAATTCACCTGATCCAGGAGAGGATTGAGCAGCCGGCTGCAGAGGGGAAACTCTGTGTCCTTCTCCCTCCTGGTGGAGGTGCTGGTTGCTGGTGGGTTCTCAGCGCTGTGGATCCGGTTGATGCTTCTCTCTTTCTTCATTGGGGGTTTTTCCTGATTCAGTCTTGCGTCCGCAGTGTTCTGAAGCCGGTCCTTTTTTAGACTGATGAGCATTTTCTGCCTCAGAGCTGCTTGATACTTGTCGTCCAGCTGCCTCAGCACCGGCTCGTAGGACTCCAGGTGTTTCTTCAGCTGTTGGAAGTCTGCGATCAGCCTGTGTTTGTCCTCCGCGACTCGTCGGTACTGCAGCCGGTGGAAATCCCTCTCCCTCTGCATCCTCACCAGGCTCTCCCCTGCCACCAGCACCTCCTGTCTGAGCCGGTCCGTCTCTCTGCGGACCGTCTCCAGCTCACTCTGGAGGAGCTGTCTGTGTGTGAGGGCGTCAGGGATGAAGAAGATGCCCGTCGTTGGCATCATCAGAGTTTCTGAGAGGAGTTTCTGAGCTGAGCCGTACCACTCCGCCTCAAAGCTGTTCAGAGTCCGGCTCAGGCCGGCTCTCCGGAGGGAGTTTCTCAGGAAGTCGTCCACTGCCTCCGGGATATTGGGGGGGGGGTTTGGTTCGGATAGTGCAGGTTTTTTCCTGGAAGCGGTGGAGAAGGCAGCCTCCCTCATCGCCTCCTCAAAGTCCTCCTCCTCCTCAACACTCCTCCTCTCCTCCTCTGAGAGAACCTCCTGGTTCTCCTCCTCTGCTCTTCCTTTTCTCCTCGCTGACATTTTCTCTTCTGCCTCTAAGCTCCTTGTTTACCTGTTGCCAAGGTAACCGTACTCTGAGCAGCTGGGCTCTACCAGCACTGTTGTTTACCGTTACCATAGCAACCATATGACACCTCTGCTTTGTTTCATATTTTCTGATCTGGAATATGTTTTGTAAATGATTATTGTATATTGATAAAGATACCACATGTTTATATTTAGTTTAGTCGTTGTGTTCTGTGAATACTTCTGTCATAGTTTTTCTCTGAGTTTAATTTCTTTCTGCTTTAGGTTTTAAATCAGCTATAAAGCACTTTGTATTTGTAAAAGTTTTGTGAAGCACCATATGTTGGACTGTTTACACTGTTTGTAGTTTAATTCATATATGTATTATTTAACATATTCACATTTACTTTTTTTAAATGTTATATTTAACAACACTACGGTCAAAAAGTCAAAGATCAGGACATAGGAATCTAGATCTAGAGAAATATTGGCCATGGAGACTTTAAGGAACATCTGCTGATTTAATCACAAACAATCATATATATCAATATTTGTTTGAAAAAGCCCCCAAATGAAGGTATATCTTTGAGTTCAAAGACATTACTGTGGCACATTACCAATACCATCCCTCTAGATTTACAGGAGTTGTTACATTCACATATTTATCCTCTCAACACAGTTACATTAGGCACAGAAACAACAGTCCCCTGCACAGAGGGCTTTTTTGTAAGCAAAACAAACAGAAAAATAAATAAACATATTTGCCATACAGTGTAAGTATGTGTAAATATAGCAGAAAATAGAAGAAATGCAAAAATAAATACAACAAAATCAGGTTGTTGTGTTATTAAATGGGAAATTATAACATTTCATCGATCCTTTTTGTTTGTGCGTTTAATTTGAAAGATTTAATATATAAAAAGAGTAAACATATATTTTATTGTGTGTCTCAAAATAATGAGTTTCTTAATATTTTGACTTAGTATCCAAAAATGATCACTTTGTCATACTAAGTCATTATTTTGAGAAGGTTTCTCCTTATAATGACTTGCACAATAATGTTTTACCTTACATTGGCGGGAATGGGCTTCCACGGTGTTCTGCAAGAACGACATTTGTGAATAAAACATTTCCCAAATAAAATCATAACGTTTGCAATAAGCTGAATTTTGGGTTCTTCGCATTCAATATGCAGAATAACCTGTTGGCCGCCAGAGGGCGCTCCGGGTTGACCGCTAGCTGTTTACGTCACATAAAGTCGTCACATGACTGTCGGTGGGCAAACACAACAGGAAGAGAGTTTCCTCTTTGTTGCTGTAAGTATTTTAATATTCCATGTTTTTACAGCCAGAAGGTGTCAGGTGAGCAGCTCGGTGCTCCAGCTCTTAGCTTGGATTAAAGAACGTTGCTCGGTTTTCGCCGGTTGCAGGTTTTGTTTACCGGCGGTACGTGTTGTTGTTTTGCGCGAAGAAACCGAACTACAATAACAATTCCGCCAATTGAAGATAATCCTGCATATCAGCCGAGGTACGTAAATATTAAGCAACGACTAAAGGCATTTTTTGTATAAAGGCGACCCGCATGTTAACTCGGCGCATATGTCTAACACTAACAGTATTGTTTAAAGTCGTCAGAAGATAAAAACTATGACCCAGTCGTTGGTTGTGGCGAGAAGCAACTAACTGGAGCTTCTGAGACACTTAATATGTAACACTAGTCTCTGGACTTTATCTAATGTAGCTCCCTTACCAGTGTTTGCTGTTTGCTGAGGTGTACAGTGAGTGCTGTAACACAGTAACTATGTGTCCAGTTTTATGAGATTTCTGAATGGAGTCTGGCTCAAAGGGTTTTTAGCAACTGAAAGCGGAAGGAATCAAAACTAGTCACTACAGAAACCGTTAGATTGAGACAGACATTTAGCTTTAGGCTTTTAATAAAGTTAGAGCAGTTTACATAGTTAATGCTCTATACAACGTTTAACTGCAGAACCCGACGCGTGTTGGGCTCATACACTGCAGAGATACTAAACTGCAGTATTTAAAGCTGCAGCAGGTCACTTTTATAAAAATAACTTTGTCATATTCGCTGAAACTTTCACTATATCCTGACAGTAGAACATGAGACAGAAAATCTGTGAAACAAATGGTTCCTCTGGCTTGTTCTAGCAAGAATCCACCGGGCCTGAAGGAAAACAACCAATCAGAGCTGAGAAATATATAAAGAGGCTTTGGCTTGGAGGTTTGAAGATAGTTGATTCCCAGCATTGGTATTTGACGCCCTGGGAATGAGACTCAATCAGCTTTCTTTCTTGGCTCTGATTGGTTGCTTTCGTTCAGGTTTCAGCAAATATGACCAAAAGTAATTTTATTAAAATGAGCTGCTGCAGCTTTAAGCCGTTATGTTATTGATCGATTAGTTAGGACTGTAGCTGAAGATTCCTAATGTTGGTAAGGTAAAATAAGATGAACTGGCCTGGTATTGTGATGTTAGTAGCCCAATATAAACAATGTGATGAGGTTTGGGTGCTTTATTATTTTTTTCTAAGAGAAACGTCCAAATTCTCTGATTTCAGTTTCTCCAATGTGAATATGTTCTGTTTTCTTTAGTCCTCTACCTGTTTTCATTACCAATTAATCTGTTGATCATTTTCTTTCTTTCATCGATTAGTTGTTTGGTCTATAAAATGGTGAAAAATGTTTCCCAAAGCCCAAGCTGAGAATTGGGACATTTTTTCAAAACAATCATTTGATTATGAAAATAGTTGTGGTAACTTTTCCACAGTGGTTAAGGTTGGTTAGGGTATGTTCATGAATATGTTCATGAATATATTCTATAGAGAATCTTCAACATCTACAGTTGAAATATTTTACAAACTGTCTGTAGGCGGACTATCAAAATAAAGTAGAACCATTGATTAACTGTCTGATCATTGCAGCTCGAGACTTCATAGTCAGATTCTTCTGAAATGTATCTTTGCTCACGGACCAAGTTTCATAGAAAAGCTCCTAAAGAATAAATAGGAACATTCAAATACAGTAAAACATCACAGACATGTATAGGTTTAACTGGATGATGCAAACAGGTCTGTTCTTTCTGATTGGCTGTCAATGAATATTGATAACTGTATTATACAGGGTCAGAGGTCACCATGGGGTCAGCAGTGGAGAGGACAGACGAACACGTGAGAGAGTATCTGGTCTACCGCGGCTTCACCAGCACTCTCAAACACCTGGACAGCGAGGTTAAAGCCGACAAGGAGAAAGGCTTCAGGGTACGGCGTTTTAGACACACGTTCTTTTAAAAAGGGATTATTGTCTTTAAGTTTGTCTTTAATCGAAAATATCTTCGGTGTGCAGGTGGATAAGATCATCGATCAGCTGCAGCAGTTTGTCCAGAGCTTCGACCTGTTTGGTCTGAAGGAGTACTGGCTTTACCTGGACAGACGTCTGTTCTGCAGACTGGAGGACGTTTACAGATCCACGGTCAACAAGCTGAGAACCAGCCTGTACAGATACTACATCATCAACACCATCCAGGTAACACCCCGGAGAGAAATCCAACACACCAGGCCGCATGTTTCTGGACCAGAGCAACAGTTAAAAACAACCCTGCTTTCGTCCTTCTAGAAAGGGAACCTGGAGAAGACTCAGGAGTTTTTCCAGAAGCAGGCGTTGGAGCTGCAGGGCCAGGCCGAGTGGCGCGATTGGTTCATACTGCCTTTCATCCCCGCTCCCGAGCAGAACCCCGCCTTCTCTCCATACTTCTCCCGCCAGTGGGCCGACACCTTCCTGGTTTCACTGCACAACTTCCTGTCTGTCCTCTTCCAGTGTATGCATATCCTTCAGCTCAGTCCACTGCTGTGATGTTAACGGGGTTACAGTTCAGGGTTGCCACGGGTCTGGAAAGTGCTTGAAAGTGCTTGGATTTAGCCTTTTTTGATTTCTTTTCTATTTTCATTTTAGGAGGCATTTTATGCAAAAACATGCTCAAAAATTGTGTTTTTCAACACATGACATGTTTTTTCCAAGTTCAAAACAATATTTAGACAAATCCTCTGACCAGTAACAGATATTTAGTTATTGATCACAATAAGTCAAGAAATAGGTTCTTACTGTATTTGTTGGGCCTAAAAATGATTTATCTGATATGCAGATTTGTGCATTTTTAAGATAGATGTTGCAGAATTTGCTTACTTTAATGATTAAAAAATAAAAAGTCTATATCAATCTGGCAAAGTTTCATCCTGACGAAATAAAAAAGTTTTTCCCTATTTTCCGGGTGGTGCTAGCCTAACGTTCTACTGCCTTCTAATTAATAAAAATTCATGTCTTTGTACAGTACTGTGCTGGGTTAGACTGATTGTTGTAATGTACCTCTGAAACTGTAGAGGGCGCCACACTGATCTGCTCATTTAAACTCTGGATTTGCTACTTTGTAGTCCTTAACTGGTTTTCACCCCAGCCGGTCCTGCTGAGTTTTGATGCTGAAGTTCAGAAGACAACCAGCGTGACAGAAGAGAATGAACAGCTCCGCCAGCTGGTAAGAAGAAAACATAATGTTAAAACATTCAACATGCAATATTTTTATATTCTTATAAATGCAGACTTTTAAGTTTTGTGTTTAAGCAGTTCCTTTTAATTATCCAACAGGTTCCATTCAACTTTAAAAAAAAGTCAGTTGAAGATTTAAATAGTTCTATTGCTTATTTCTATATTTTATATACATGGCCATGACAATGACATATTCCCAAGATTAGCTTTAAAAGTGACTTTAAAAAGAGCCATATTCCATCCGTCCATTTTCTGTTGCCTATCCGGGCCCAGCTCGCAGTGGCAGCAGATTAAGCAGGGGGGTCCAGACGTCCCTCTCCCCAGCTCCTCCAGGTGTATCCTGATCAGAGATTGAACCACCACTGAGCAACTCTCACAGAAATGAATGGAGCCCCGCCTCCCAGGTCTTAATACGTCTATGGTTAGAAACCAATACGGGGGGAAAAGGCCACCAATGATCCCGTTATTTGGTTTAAATAGTCTCAATTTAAGACCCATTAAATTTTTTTTTTTAAGTTTGTTGGCTTTATTTTATAGAGACAGCTGTAGAGAGACA